TATATGGTACTTGTCTAAAAAAATGTCCATTTCTTTCGTATTTTCCAGTTTTGTGGCATACAGGCTTTTGTAGTAAGATCTAATGATTCTCTGAATTTCCTCTGTGTCTGTGGTTCTGTCCCCCTTTTCATTTCTGATCTTATTTATTTGCGTGTTCTCTCTCTGTTGTTTAATTAGTTTGGATAGGGGTTTGTCGATCTTGTTGATTTTCTCCAAGAACCAACTTTTTGTTTCATTGATTCTTTGGACTCTTTTCTATGTTTCTATTTTGTTGATTTCCATCCTCAGTTTTATTATTTCCAGTCTTCTGCTCCTCCTTGGGGCATCTGCTTCTTTATTTCCTAAAGCTTTAAGGTGTGCTGTTAAGTCCCCAATGTATGCTTTCTCTGTTTTCTTCAAGTGGGCACTTGGTGCTATGAACTTTCCTCTTAGCACTGCTTTCATCGTGTCCCATAGGTTTGAGTATGTTGTCTCTTTATTTTCATTAAATTCAAGGAAGATTTTAATTTCTTTCTTAATTTGTTCGTTGACCCAGGTGTGGTTCAGTAGGTGACTGTTCAGTTTCCATGAGTTTGTCGGCTTTCTGGGAGAAGCATTGTTTTTGCCTTCTAACTTTAATCTGTGGTGATCTGATAAGACACAGTTGGACACTGATATTTTTTTTTTGTATCTGTGGAGGTTTCCTTTGTTTTCAAGTATGTGGTCAATTTTCGAGAAGGTTCCATGAGCTGCAGAGAAGAAGGTATATTCTTTCCTATTTGGGTGGAGTGTTCTATAGATGTCTGTTAAATCCATTTGCTTCATTACCTCCAATAATTCTCTTAATTCTCTATTAAGTTTCTGTCTGATTGACCACCTACTACTAGTGTGTGTGGTTTGATGTCTGCCTTGAGTTCTAGTAATATTTCTTTTACATAAGTGGGTGCTTTTATATTGTGGGCATAGATATTCAGGATTGAGACTTCATCCTGATGGATTGTTCCTGTTATGAGTATAAAGTGTCCATCTCGATCTCTTCTGGTTGATTTTAGTTTGAAGTCAGTTTTGTTAGAAATTAGTATGGCCACACCTGCTTTTTTCTTAGGACCATTTGCTTGAAACACCTTTTCCCAACCCTTTACTCTGAGTAGATGCCTGTATTTGTGGTTGAGATGTGTTTCTTGCAAACAGCAGAATGTTGGATCCTGTTTTCGTATCCAATCTCTTAGCCTGTGCCTTTTTATAGGTGAATTGAGCCCATTAATATTAAGTGATATTAATGACCAGTGGTTGTTTATTCCGGTTATTCTTATTGTTTTTGGTAGTAGAGTTTGTGTGTCTCCCTTCTTTGACTTGTGCTGATGAAGGGTTGCTAGATGCCTGAGTTATTGTAGGCAGTGTTGGCAATGTTGGCAATGTTGGGTTCCTTGGGTTGCGATTTTCCTTCTATTACTTTCTGTAGGGCTGGATTTGTGGCTATGTATTGTTTAAATTTGTTCTTATCCTGGAATGTCTTGATTTCTCCATTGATAGTGAACAATAGCTTGGCTGGGTATAGTAGTTTGGGTTTGCATCCATGGTCTCTTAGCTTCTGAAGTACCTCTATCCAGGACCTTCTGGCTTTCATGGTTTCCATAGAGAAGTCAGGTGTAAGTCTGATTGGTTTACCTTTATAAGTTACTTGGCCTCTTTCATTGCAGCTCTTCTATTCTTTCTTTAATCTGTCTATTTTGTGTTTTATTATTATATGGCGGGGGATTTTTTTTTGATCCTGTCTGTTTGGTGTTCTGTATGCTTCTTGAATATTCAAAGGAATATCTTTCTTTATGTTGAGAAAATTTTCTTCCGTAATTTTGTTAAAAATATTTTCTGGGCCTTTGAGCTGTGACTCTTCTCCTTCTTCTATTCCTATTATTCTTAGGTTTGGTCTTTTTATTGTGTCCCATATTTCCTGAAAGTTTTGTGATGAGAATTTGTTGGCTTTGCTGTTTTCTTTGATCAGTGCGTTTATTTTCTCTACGGTGTCCTCAAAATCTGAGATTCTTTCTTCTATCTCTTGTATTCTATTGATTATGCTTGTTTCTGTAGGCTCTGCTCGTTGACCTAGATTTTCCCTATCCAACTGGTCCTTCGTTTGTGTTTTCTTCTTTGCTTCCATTTCAGTTTTCAATTCTTGAACTGTTTCCATTACCTGTTTGATCGTTTTTTCTTGGTTTCCCAGGATATCATGTACGTCTTTACTCATTTCTTCAAACTTTTTGTTATACTTCTCATCCATTTCTATAAGGGCGTTTTTCACATGTTGTTTAAGGGACTCTATTGCTTTCATAAAGTCAATTTTTTCCACTTCTTCTGTGTTAGGGTGTTCAAGTCCTTCTGTTGTAAGATCATTGGGTTCTGGTGTTTTCATGTTGTTTTTGAGATTGATGGGTGAATTCTTACCATGGCGCCTGCCCATCTCCTCATACCGATGCTATCAAATGGGTCTTTTAAAACCAGTTCAGGTTTCTCTGCTGGCCAGGGGCTCTTCTTACAAAATGCCCTCGCTCTGTTTCCTGGCTCCTGCTGGGGGCCACGATCCCTCTCAACCCTCTGAAGGGTCTTCAGGAACAGGATCCTGCTCCTCTTTGCTAGGGACCTCGCCAACCAAAGGCTTACCTCTTTGATTTAATTGTAGTGGGGTGATTTGCTCTCAGTGTTTCACTCTGGTCCCTGCCGCCTGCAGCCCCTGTGCGTCTCCGCCACTGTGCCGGTTCCCAGCATCCGCCTGTGCCCCTCTGCTGTTTCTTCCTACAGTCTTTTGGGAATTAAAGCCACAAGATGTTCAGATAATCAATTAACTTTTCAAGAATTTTCGCTGCAGACACAGTTCCACTTCTGACTCCATACAGAGATTTGACTTTGTGGTCAAATCAGTCTGCCATTAGCCCCTAAGTGCAGTGACAAGAATGAAGGCAGCCAGGAGAGCACAGCACTGACCACACTGCTGTGCAGTGCAGCAATGTATGTGAGTCTAACTGTGTCAATACACGCTGACATTTATTTCAGAGGGAAAGCTTTCCCATAAAACACAATTATAGAAGAAATATTAAACAAAAAGACACCAGAGAGCTATAAAGTCAGGTTTTGTTTTTAATAAATTTATAATATGATTAAAGTAAAAATCATCTATTATTTTATACTACAGGTATTCCAATTCTTCAAAGAAAGTATGGTGAAGTTTTGAGTGGGCTTATGCATACTCTGCCAGCATGTAGTGCTAAAATCCCTAATCTACTTGCGACCCTGTAACTGCCTCTCTGCAGTCACAAATAGAGACAAGATAGACCTCTACTGAAAATCAGTCCCCAGCAGATCCCTTGCCAGTGTCACACCAACCTAAGTGAGTTTTCATAAAAGGGTATCCTGTTTGTGTCACATGGCTGCCCTGCCTCCTGCCTGGCTGCAGACTCCTGCTGTGAATTTAGCCCTCCAATCTACAAAGCATAAGTACAATCCGGTTCTCTCAACACAGGGCCCCTGATGCCATCCAGAAATCCCTCCATTTGATCTTCTCTGGTGCTAGAGCCTGAACTCTCCTGGGAACATCCACTATGCTGTGTGCTCTCAGTCTTTCTGTTTACTTTTGTCAATCTGACTCCAAATAAACTCTGTATTGTCCCGTAATCCCTCACCTTGTCCTCTTGAACCAACTACCTTATGCAAAACCTCTTTAAAAGTAAAACAAAACAGGGAAGGGTATTATTTCTTAATTGAGCCTGGACTCAGATGTACAGCAACCGTCCTGTCTGTGCCTCCTCAGTACCGAGATTGTATCAAAACCATCATGCCAGGTTCTGGTATTCAACCTCACCAATCCTTTATTACATCAAGAAGGAGACAAAACAGACGACATAGTGGATATCATTTTTTATATGCCAGAGGCAATGTAAGTTCCTAGAAACATTATATTGTTCATATTTCACAACACAGAACAAGGGAAGTTCACAGGCATTTCCATCATTACTCTGAAATGGAAATCATAGGATTTAGTGCACTTTATAAGAAACAAATGGAACCCCACAATTATCCTCTCAAAAATAAATGTGAAAACCAAGCAATAATCACAGACATCTACAACATTTTAGAATACACTTGGTGAACAGATTCCAGGATCTAACACCAAGATATCAGGAAAGTCAAATCTTCACTCCTCCCATCTGCCAGCTTTTGCATGGGTCACCATTCTAGGACATCTCCCCAGTAACTAACAGAGAAAGCAACTACTGAGTGTACAGTGGATGCTTGATGTGCATCACACTTGCTCTTTTTAAAAACGTACATAATGTATTCACATCTGTGTATGTGTCTAGGCCTGTGCGTACTGCATCATGTGTGTGGAGGTAAAGGATAATCTGTGGGAGTTGCCTGCCTCCTTCCAACATGAGGTTTAATTGATTGAACTCAGGTCACTGGACTTGGAGGAAAATGCTTCTACCCTCAGAGCCTCCTAACACAGTTCAAATCTATTTTCCGAGACTGACCTACAGTATGTGTGCACTCTACAACAGTAAAAGTGTAACAACAACAAACAATAAACAAAACAAAAAAATCAAAACAAAACACCCATAAGCATAAGTTTTTGAGGTTGCTATTCAGGGTTACACTTCTATGTGGAATGACAGGATTAGAACATAGATACTCTGAACACAGTCTTAGTGGTTACCATTAGAGATATTTCCCTATTAAGTTTTGATGAAGCACAGCATTGTGGTTAAACTGATATACCACTAAGGGCTCATTCCTAGGTTAGCGGCTCCTACATATATTTTCTCCAAGCTTGAGAAGAACATTCTGTCATCTTCTGTCAGTGACAGAGGAGTGGGGTTGTGGAGACTTGTCAGAGCTGAGACAAGTGGCTCAGGGACAGAGCACCTCCTCAGCATGCACAAGGTCCTGGCTGCCATCTGTGGCACCACAGAGCAGGAAGTGTGGGTTAGCAGAGGTCTATCCTCACCTCCTGAGGAATCATTGTCTTTGGGAATATGGAAAGAGATGAATTGCCATTGTCTTGTAAACAGACAAGTAACTGGATCAAGGAAAAGAATCCACACTTGTTTGTATTTAAAGTGTAAGGTATTAAAATAGCAAGACCAGATGTTAGTGCCAGTTCTTACTTACCAGGCCAAGGTCACCTGATATGGCCATAAGGAATGAAACAAGGCCTAGATTGGAGGGGCCACTGCAAGAGAGAGGCTGTGACAATTTTGTTGAGAGCAATCAAACTTTTTATACAGAATATCATCATAATTTCCAGGATCAATACAGTTGTAGTTTCCAGGAAACAATGATGTTTGGAATGTATACAGGGTACCCAAGATTAATGTCTAAGACCTACGGTCCTGTCAAGCTTCTATGTTTCCTTGACTACTAAGGAAACCTACAGAGCAACACGAAGTAGAATGAATGCTTCACTGTTAGGGGGAGTGCATCAGTATCTCAGAAACTGAAAGTCACATTGTATTGCAGGAGCCATGGACTCTAACCTGAAAAACTTATAACAAATGCATCTCAGGGTAGCTAGGCCATGGTTTCTTACAACCAAAGATAGAAAAAAACTGTAATGATACCATGGACTTCAGGTATTTGAGCTACATCAGACATGGGACATTGTGTGAGGGGTTAGGAGGGTGGCCCACAGACTGTCATTGGCTCTGATGACTCCATAGGGTTAAAATATGGATAAACCGCACCAGAGGAAGAACAGTCACAGAATCTATGGATAGGAGCTCCATGGTTGGAAACATCATAAAACGTGAGAGTGCAAGCTTCTCGGTCCAGGAAAACTCCAACACGAGTGGGAGAGCCAGTCAGAGAAGGGAACGAGACACTAGCATTTTGAGGGACAGAGCACACCTCAAAGACGTTATATACAGACTTGTTTGTAATTCCTATAACCCAGTAGCCATATTGGGGCTGATATTTTACATCCTGTTTAACAACAGAATTTTTTATGACTCTGAAGCCCTTTTGATTCACTGCATGAAGCTGGGGTTTAGCACATCTTCCATCATTTATTCCCAGGATCCAGGCATCACATCTAGACACGTCTACTTCCCAATAATGTTTCCCTGAGTAGATAGCTGGATACCCTAGGACACCTAAATCATAGGACTCAGAAACTTGCAAATTTCTTCTATAGCCACTTCTATGTTGTATTTGTCTTTTGTCCACATTAATGACAATGTTTTTATTGCTGTGTTGAAGCAGGTTCACGTGAACTGCAGAAAAATGAGACATATAAATTATGAGTCACATGAGAAACAAGGTACTGCCTTATTAGTGATTTAGGTAGCAGAAGCCTGAGAAGAAAGTGAGAGAGAACTTGGCAGAGCCATGTTTGAAGTCAAACAGAGGCAGATTGTTGTTCATATTTGGAGCCGTATCATAAAACATAAGTATTAGTAGAGAAATAAACTCTGAAAGACATTTAGACGAGAGAGGCTGATGAAGGGATTTCTCCTTACCCCAGTAGCACTGGGCATCCCGGAGCCCTGAAATGATGAAAATGCACAGCATTAAATGCAAGCAAGGGAATCAGACCATTAAGTCAATGTGCTCTGCAGAGTAAGGAAAGGTCTGGAAACTGTGATATAGGACGGGATGAATGATGATGTCCATTAAATATGATGCCATCATTTGTACACATTATCTGTTCTTCTCAGTTTCTGTACTCATGATCAGAGACAGCACTCTCTATCCAGAGAGTGCAGCCCCAGCCTCCGCTAGAGTCCCCCAGGTACCCCAGGTAACCACAGAATGTAGCTGCTCTCACCTTGAAAGACTTGCATCATGCTTTTCAGATCTGGAGCTCGGAAGATCTTTCTCTGTTTTCTTGGAATCATTTTGGGCTGTTTCAGACTTAAGGTCTGACTCCTAGGGACAAAAGATTGACTCCACATCTCAGACAGTGTGACCTCTGACCACCATGGACTCCCTGCCACTCCCTATCATTCTGACCATAGAGGCCCTGGAGCTCTCCTGTGAAATCTGAGCTGGGAGAGGGTAGACTACTAACTCTGCAGATGTGAGAGACACACTCATGACCTTTTCTGCTTACTTGCTGTGTAATATTTGGAAAGCCTTACTTCTTAGGAGCAGAGCTTCTCGCTTGTACACTTAAAAACTTTCTTCCCCACTCTCACTTCTTCCCACCTGGAACTCTTAAGAAATGATGAATTAGCAAATCTTAAAACCAATCAAACTAAGGTACCTAAAAGTTAATGTGTAGACCAGGCAGGGGGCCAAAAGCTTTAATCCCTGCACTTAGGAGGCAGAGGCAAGTTGATTTCAGAGATCAATGACAGCCTGATGTACAGAGTGAATTACAGGCCAGCCAAGGCTACACAGTGAAACCTTGTCTGAAAAACAAAACAGGCAGGCAGGCAGGCAGGTAGACAGGAAGGAAGGAAGGAAGGAAGGAAGGAAGGAAGGAAGGAAGGGAGGGAGAGAGAGAGAGGGAAGCTGGGCTCTCAAGAACAGTCTAAAGTTGGGGTGCAGAAACTGCTCCTGGGTAATAGAGTCATAGAGTCTGAGAAAACCCTCTGGTGAAAGTCAAGACTTCAAACACTTTTGTCAATGTGGATACTCTTAGCCAGCTTCTAAATTAAGTTCTTTTTTAAGAAGACAGTTTTGGAAAAGAAGACAGGAACATCAACTAATACAGACATGAGCTGCATATGTTCAGAACATGCCTGATGCTGACAATCTGCATGTGACTCTTTACATAGAAGGGAACGGCTTTCCAGTTGTCTGAAGTATGTGGCTTAGGTGGAGCTGTTGTGCCCACAGACTGAAAATTGTTTTTGAAAAATCTAAGTACCCAAGACCTTCAGCAACTCACTGAGACACAGACTGCGATGCACAGAGTAGAGGTGAGTGGCCAGCCTCCCATCTGGACAGCACAGTCTTTAGGCCCTAGGAACTGAAGCAAAGCCCCAGGACCCTTACACACCCATCTCAGCTGCACTAGTGATCATGGGCAAGCCTCCTGCAGGAAGGCTGCTTTATCACCCCCCACCAGACCCTGTAACTACAAGTCCCACTCTGCCTCCAAACACACCCATCCCCTGAGACCTCAGCAGTTCCATGACACACAGAAGGGACCAGTAGCGACTCCCTGGGACACAGACAGCAACTGCAATGATTGGTCCATAAGAGTATTCCTGAGACACAGACACCAACTTCAAGAATTGATCCAAGAGGCAAAGACACTGCCTTCACCACTTAGAGGAAGAGATGGGGAGGGACCAATGCAAGAATACATTCAGAATACATTCAACAACCTAATGAGCAATATAGCAATACCAGAACCTAATGGTCCTTCAAGAGGAGGGCGCGAGCATCCTAATCCACAAAAAGCAAAAGAAAATGACTTTAAATATAACTTTATGAAGATGATACAGGCTCTTAAAGGGGAAGTAAAAAACTCCCTTAAAGAAATGGAGGAAAAGACAAATATAAAATTGGAATAAATCAATAAATTTCTTAATGAAAGCCAAAAAAATGCAATCAAGCAAGTGAAACAAACAATTCAAGTAGTTCAAGACTTAATTCAAATGGAAGCAATAAAAAAAACACAAACCTAGGGAATTCTAGAAATTGTAAATCTGGATAAATGAACAGGACTACAGATGTAAGCATAACCAACAGATTACAACAAATGGAAGAGAGAATCTCAAGAGTTGAAGATACAATAGAAGAAATAGACACATCAGTCAAAGAAAATGTTAAATCCAACAAATTTTTAACGCCAATATCAAGGAACTCTGAGACACCATGAAAAGACCAAACCTGAGAATAATAAGGAAAGAAGAATGAGAACTCCAGTTCAAAGGCACAGAAAATATATTCAACAAAATCATTGAAAAAAACTTTCCCAACCTACAGAAGGATATAGCTACAAAAGTACAAGAAGCTTACAAAGCACCAAATAGACTGGAGCCCCCCCCCCCCCAATGTCCCCTTGTCATATAATAATCAAAGCACTAAATATACAGAATAAAGAAAGAATATTAATGGATGCAAAGGAAAAAGGCCAAGTAACATATAAAGGCAGACCTATCAGAATTACAACTGGCTTCTCAGTGGAAACTCTGAAAGTCAGAAGGTCCTGGACAGATATGCTGCAGACACTAAGAGACCACAGGAGCAAGTCAACACTACTCTACCTAGCAAAGCTTTCAATCACTATAGACAGAGAAAACAAAATATTCCATGAGAAAGCCAGATTTAAACAACACCTATCTATAAATCCAAACTTATAAAAAGTACTAAAAGGAGAACTTCAACCCATGGAAGTCAGCTGCAACCACAAAAACACAGGCAAAAGATAAGCTCACACTGGCAGAAAACACACAAACACTACGAACCAAAAAATAACAGGAATTAAACATCACTGGCAATTAATATCTCTTAATATCTATGGATTCAATTCACCTACAAAAACACATAGGCTAACAGAGATACAAAAAGAGAATCCATCCTTCTGCTGCATACAAGAAACACATTTAAACCCCAAAGACACACATTACCAAAGAATAAAGTGTTGGAAAAAGATTTTCCAATAAAATGGACCTAAGAAACAAGTTGGTGTGGCAATCTTAATATCTAACAAAATAGACTTCACACTAAAATCAGTCAAAGAGATTTAGAAGGATACTTCATATTCATCACAGGAAAAATCCATCATAATGAAGTCCCAATTCAGAACATCTATGCACAAGATAAAGTCCCAATTCAGAACATCTATACAAGAGCACTACATATGTAAAAGAAACATTACTAAAGCTTAAATTGCACATCACACCCGACACACTAATAGTAACAGACTTCACCACCCCGCTCTCACTGATAGACAGCTCTGCAAGACAGAAACTCAACAGAGAAATCAGAGAACTAACAGATGTCATGACTCAAATGGACTTAACAGACATCTTAGAACATTTCACCCAAGCACAAAAGAATATAACTTCTTCTCAGTACCTTATGGAACCTTCTCTAAAGCTGACCACATACTTGGTAACAAAGCAAACCTCAATACAAAAAAAATGGAATAGCCCACTGTATCTTATCAGATTTCCTTTTTTAAACTTAGACACTAATTGCAGAAAACCTACAAACTCATGGAAATTAAACAATGCTCAACTGAATCACCCCATGGTCAAGGAAGAAATTAAAGACTTCCTAGTCTTCAACAAAAATGAACACACAACATAGCCAAACCTATGGGACACTATGAAAGTAGTGCTAAGAGAAAAGTTCATAGTGCCTACATAAAAAAAGTGGAGAAATCTCATACTACCAACTTAACAGCACAACTAAAATTCTAGAACAAAAAAAAAGCAGACTCACCCAGGAGGAGTAGATGGCAGAAAATAGTCAAATTGGGGTTTGGAATCAATAAAATAGAAATAAAGAATGAATGAAACAAAGAACAGTTTCTTTGAGAGAATCAACAAGGTAGACAAACACGAAAACTAACAAAAAGGCAGATATAGAATATCCAAATTAACAGAATCAGAAGTGAAAGGGGGGACAAAACAACAAACACTAAGGAAATCCATAGAATAATTAGGTGCCCAAAACTGGAAAATTTGAAAGAAATGGACAATTTTCTGGATAGGTACCACATACCAAAATTAAGTCAAGACCAAATGAACAATTTAAGTAGACCTATAGCTCCGAAGAAGAAGCAGAAGCAGAAGCAGAAAAAGCAGAAGAAGAAGAAGAAGAAGAAGAAGAAGAAGAAGAAGAAGAAGAAGTCATCAAAAGTATCCCAACTAAACAAAAGCTCACAGCCAAATGGTTTTGGCACAGAATTCAACCAGAACTTCAAAGAAGAGCAATTTCTCAAATTGTTTCCCAAAATGGAAACAGAAGGAACATTGCCAAATTCTTTTTTGTGAGGCTATATTTACCTTGATACAAAAACCACACGAGGACTCAACTAAGAAAAGGAATTACAGACCAATCTTCCTCTTAAACATTGAGGCAAAAATTCAGTAAAATACTGGCAAACCAAATTCAAGAACACATCCAAAAAAATCATCCACCATGATCAAGTTGGTTTAAGCCCAGAGATGCAGGGATGGTTCAACATATGAAAGCCTGTCAATGTAATCCATCACATAAACAAACTGAAAGAAAAAACTATATGATCATCTCATTAGATGCTGAAAAATCCTTCAACAAATTCCAACACCCCTTCATGATAAAGGTCTTAGATAGATCAGAGATACAAGGAATGTATCTAAACATAATAAAAGCAATATATAGCAAACACAGACAACATCAAATTAAATGGAGAGAAAGTCAAAGGGAAAATCAAGATCAAGACAAGGGTGTCCACTCTCTCCATATCTATTCAACATAGTACTCAAAGTTCTCGCTAGAGCAATAAGGCAACAAAAGAAGATCAAGGGGATAAAACTGGAAAGGAAGAAGTCAAACTCTCACTATTTGAAGATGATATGATAGTTTACATAAGTGACCTGAAAAATTTTACCAGGGAACTACAACTGATAAACACCTTCAGTAATGTGGGACGATACAAGATCCTCTCAAAAAAAATCAGTAGCCCTCCTAATTAAAGATGATAAATGGGCTGAGAAAGAAATCAGAGAAACACCACCCTTCACAATAACCAAAAACATAATGAAATATCTTGAGCTAACACTAATTAAAGAAGTGAAAGACCTGTATGACAAAAACATTACGTCTGTGAAGAAAGAAATTGAAGAAGCTATCAAAAAAATGGAAAGATCTCCTATGCTCTTGGTAAGGCAGTATCAACAAAATAAAAATGGTAATCTTACCAATAGCAATCTACATATTCAATGCAATCCCCATCAAAATCCCAGCACAATTCTTTATAG